TCTGAGATTAAAGTCAGAAATCTGAGATTAAAGTCAGAATTCTGACTTTTTACCCCATGTTAAACTGAAATAAAATGTAAAAATCTATTAACTTTTTTTTTTTCCAGTGGCCCTAATCCTCTTCCGTATATTTCTTTCTTCTAAAAGCTCTCAAACTAAAAACCCAAACAACCTTAGAAACAGTTAAACGGTTATTAGTATCATCTTCTCTCAGCAGTCTTCCCGTTTACCTGTCGTAGCAGTTCATGTCGTCCAGCCAGCAGCCCTGCCTGATGATCTCAATGGTGCCCGACACGTTCTTCCACGAGGCGAAGCAGTGCCGCCGCTTGTCCGTGTCGCCGTAGCACATATCGATGCCGCTGAGGTTGGTTCTGTCCTTCTCCCAGCTGGAGTTGTAGTAGATGCATTTCTCCGTCTCTGAGCGTCCCAGAATGGCACCTGCGGAGGACAGAGGGACTCCTTTCAGATTGTTCTTTTTTTTATGCTCTCCAAGAGGGAAACTGAAAAGCACTGCGACAAGAAAATGAAGTAAAAGATAACTTTGTTTTGTTTGAATAATAACAGTCTGAATATATAACATGAAGGAAAGTAATAATGAAAGTTGCCTCTGATGTGGTTTTCTGTATATTTGGGCATCAAAGACAGTCGGAGGCAAAGGCAGCAATTTTTCAAAGCTGAATCTGAAAATTCAGCGAGGTGAGAGAGAAGATTAAAACCTTGAAAGCATATATCTCTATCCAGACCCCCCCAAGTCTGTGCTTGTGGGGGGTCTCTTTACCAGCTTCTCACACAGATTTTTATTTCTCTTCAGGACAGGACCGACTGTTTTAGTGTACAATTTCCTTCACCTCCAACTGATTAATTATTTCACGACTCTAAATGTCCATTTTCCCCCATCAACACTGATCGGTCACAAAAAGTCTTCCCACAGCATGATGCTGCCATCACTATACTTCACTGAAGAGATGCCATGTTCACTGAGTTTGACATGCAGGCCTAAACAATCTGGGTCACATCAACGGGACTGAATACGACACACAGTAAGCATAAAAACCAAGAGTGGTTCCCCTTCCAATTCACAGTCATGCTCTACATTATATTGCCTCATAAAAACCCAGCAGAACACATAAAAGTTTGTGGAAGCGATGTGAGAAAAAAAATGATGAAAAGGTTTCTTGCTTTGATTCCCACGCTCGCACTTAACGGCAAACGTTTCATAGTGACCTTCTGATGTGTTGGAGGGTTTGTGTGTGAAACCGTTTTTTAAAACATGCAAATCAAACATCAAAAGGCTCCTGAAAATCACTGCACCATTCTCCAAATCCCGCAGCTCTCATTACACGACATTCAGCTCAAATGAGGAACAATCAGTGATTTCCAACAAGCTCTGCTGAGGTATCGAGTGATAAAAATCACCGGTTTCTCAAGTAAAGCACTCCGACGGGGGTTTTTAAGATGTGATTACAGAGGGTCCATATGTAATGGATGAAAACAGGAAAAATCCCACACAACTGAACTGTTAGTTGTTTATACCTGCTTGATTTGCTGTGTTCCAACTAATTTTTACGACTAAAAAGATCAGAATAAATACGAGAATAATTGTGCAATTTATGAGATGGCTGTGAAATCGGGCCACAGAGGACGAGCCAGCGGCTCAAAGAAATCAGGACGTGATGCATATTTCAATAAGGCAGCTTTAAGTAAAGCCGGTTAACGCCTTCCTAAAAAGCCCTGCAGCCTCCCTTTACAGCCAGCATGAACAGCTGCAGAGGGCAGCGAGGTCACTCTGCCGCCCATCCGGGCCTGACGGCGCTTTTCTCTCGTCACGTCGTTTTACTGCGAAGCGCAGGAGTGTTTTTCCAGCAACAGGTGCAGTCGTGAACCGCTTCATATGTGACAGAAAAATGCAGAAATAATTGGATTACTCCACATACGTGCAGCAAGGAGACATGGGGAAATAATCAGATGGAGCTGCATGAGTAAAGCATTTGGAAGTACAACAGTAGCCAGAACTTAAGGCAAAAACAGCTTTATACTGAGAAAACTAGAAAAGAAAAAAAAAAAAACACATCTGTCATCACCGCAACGCCCCAAAGCGAGTCGCCCACTTCCGCAACAGGAATTATGTGTGAAGAAAAGCTGCTGAAAAGGAAAGAACAAGACAATAAGGGGGGGCATAACTGCATTAGATGTGCCCCCTGCAGGAATACGGCTGCATCCGGAGGTTAGAGAACGTTGCTTTGATCTGACAGCGTTGATGGATTGTTATTTAGCCCACCATTTAGCACCTTAGGGCAGCTAAAGCTAAGATAGCAGCCCCAGCGTTAAAGACATTTACTCCAGCAAGAAGAAGTGAGGAAACGGAATCCTGGAGCTCTACAGAGTTAAAATAATTATCATTTTTACGCATTTCAGGGAATTTTAGCAGCACTGCATGTTAGCGGGATGGATGCTAAAACTGAGCCGACACACATTTTAACAAAAATACACAATATATGTTGTGCTTTAGGCCTGAGCTAGTGGGAAATTGTAACAGCATGTTAAAGTAAGTAAAAATACCAGGCTTTCACTGTATTTTGATGAATTTTAAAAAGATGTGTGATTTAAAAAAGATCTTTACTCTCATATTTTTAATTTAGTTGTCCGTGGAAACGGCTCAATCATAAAACCGTTTGCCTCAGTATTTGTTTCACTTAATGCAGCCTGTTAATTTAAAAACATAAACAACATAAAAACAACATTGATCTCAAATCTATTTATTTTATTATTCTATGTGAACTAGCTTTAAACAGCCAGCACTTGTGTAAAGTTCATTAACACTTTATTTTATTTATTTGTTTCCTTTGTCAGGTGTATTTTATTTGCTTTAATGCAAGCATTTGTGTTTGTGTCTTTGAACCTTAATAATGTTCAAAATAAATATGCAAATATTGTCAGGAAATCTTCCATGTCTGCATGTGTTCCTTAAAATTGAGTTTTTTCTATCAAAAAGATGAGAAAATGTTGAAATGTGAAATAATTTTAGGAAATGTTAAATATTATCTGCTGACAAAAAAGTAAAAGGTTAAAATTATGTCCTGACTAAAACTAGACTAAAATGTAAAACTAAACGAATAAAATAATGTTTTCTTGGACTAAA